CTTAAACTCGCCCTGCTTGCACGCCTTTGCCACTCTCTTCTCCAACGCAGCTGGCTCGCAGCAGTGATGATGCCCTTCTGGTTATGTGATGGTGGTCCTAATGATTGGCTGCCAGGCCTGAACACTGTCGCATCAGGTTGTTTTGCCAGTTGTGATAAAGGGTTGGCAAGGAGTGCAAACAAGGGAAGTGTGTGTGTCTGGGGGTGCGTATAAAGATACATTCTTGTGTTTCCCTGCATGGGCAAGGTGACAGTGTTTCTAAGAGGATCTGATCAGGCAATATTTGAGAATTCATATCTGTTGACTTTAACGCCTAATCACATTCAAGTGAGCAAAATTTTAACAGCCTTATCAAATCATTATAGTAGGAATACCTTCCTCTGCTCTTGGAAGACACTTCTTAGACCAGTGAAATTCAGAACATACAGAATGAAACTTATTTTCAATAGAGAGAAATGGAAATCAAAATAAATGTAGTCTTACAACGCTTATAATTTTATTTTACAGGATTAACAGAAGCTTTGGGCGAGGGTACAGACTCTGCAAATTATGCCTGTTTTGCCGTAGCCTCTTTGGCTGCAGCTTGGCCACAGTTAAATCATGGTACGTCTTATTTGTATTCAGTATGGGTGTATGAATAAGATTTTTGTTTTGAGAATCCTGCTTGTATTTGGAAGCTGCATGTGGTTAGTTAACATGAGCAATCCATGCTCACTGAGTTTAAATTGTATAAATATAAAACAATATTCTGTGATGTTATAGTGACATTTCAAGCCGAATATTGATAGCATGTTTAAGATTGTGAAATACATCTGTGCAGTGTGCTAGTTTGCACATCATTCTCCACTCTGGGGCCCTTCTATCCTCCTTTTTTTTTTTAGGATATGGTAATTACCAAGGCTGTCTCCTTTTTCTTCCTTCTCCTTTTTCCTTTTCCATGACAGATGAGCTAAAGTCTCCCTGCTAGGTATATTCACAGATGACATAAATTGCTCATTTCAGTTCTGAGTTGGTTCCATCCCAGTAGTGTGTGTATGTGTTTATATTATATGTGTACATTGTTTTGTTTTCCAAATAAATTCATGAAAAGGGATTACCAGAGCGCTAGGGGTTGCTCAGTTTGTTTAAAACTTTGACTTTCTGTTGAGCCATCTGAAGAATAGATGAGTCGCTTCTCTGATGACTTCACCTGTGGAAAGGAGACTAGAGCTCCATCTGCTTTCTCAGACGAACACCCTTTTGCTTGTTAGTATCTAATGGTCTTCAGTACTAGGGGAACCTGTGTGTGTTAGTTATCTGCTGACTCTTTCCTTGCAGGCTGCAGTCTAAAGAAGCTGGATCTGGATAGCTGTACGCTTTCAGAGATTCTTCGTCTGCATATTTTGTCTTCGGGAGCTGACTCAAACTCAGCCAGTGCCAAATATCGATATCAAAAACAGGGAGGCTTTGTAGCTACTGATGATGCTTGTATGGAGCTTCGCCTCAATCACCCTGCAATCCTGAAGAAACTGACCACCACTTCTGTGTATTCCTTGTCACCTGGTGAGAATAGCTAAATTAGACACCACATGAAAGTGAAAATGTATATGATTAACCATATACAGAGATGACTGAATCCCTTTTAAGCTTATAACATTTCTTTAAAGGGAAGCGGTCACTTTCAATAATCTAAACATAAGATCAGGCACAACAGTACATGCTGCTACTTTTCTGCTTATCCATATGCATTCTTGTGTTAATCCTTGATCCTGGGTGCAGTGTGAACTGAAACTTCAATTTCAGCTCTGCTCAGCCAATGAGAGCACCTTGGTAGCCGATAACGACAACCTCATTAGTTTATGTGGTGGAGGGTGGGGCAGAGCTCCTAGGTGGTGCTGAGGGCGAGAATCCAGGATTGAGTGTGCACTGAAGAGAGCTTTGCGAAACATATTGGGGGGGGGGAATTTATCAAAACTGGAGCACAGAGAATTGAAGCAGTTGCCCAGGGCAACCAATCAGCATCTCTCTTCAGCTTGCTCAGGTAAGATTTGAAAATGAAAAAGAGAGAAGCTAATTGGCTGCAGTGCAAATCTGCTCCAGTTTTGATAAATTCCCCCCATTGTTTTGCCCTTAAACTGTAATCCTGAAGTGAGTAGGACACTATAGATTCATTTTAAGTCCCCCTTTTTTTTTTTTACACGGATCTAGCTGCAAATTTGCTTGCTTGGCAGTCTTCACTATAGCAACAAGCAATCGAGACTATCACAAAAACAGTAAAACTGTTCTGTAACTTGTAAACTGGAATTTATTTTTAAGAGAATAAATGCACTTATTTTTTTTAATTTTGGCTGCATTTTTCAAGAAACACTTAAAACATTTAAAGAAAAGTTATGTTAAGGGTCTTTCTTAAAAAGTAAACTTATCTTAAAATGAATCTGTCCTGTCCTTTTAGGATTACAGCTTAAAAGCAGGCACCACACTTTTTTGGCAAGTAGGTCCCAATCCTGAGTGAATCCTATAGACAGAAAATCTGCTGGGATTTAGTAAAACGGAAATTGAATGAATTGCATGACACTTTAGGATTGGTAGTGCTGACGCAGAGTAAGGGTAATCTAATTTCTACAAGAGAATAATGGTGGAGGACAGGTGTTTTTTCCTGGCTGTATAACGGTCTTATCCTTGCACTGTACCTTTTTTAGATGAGAAGCTAAAGATTCTCCATGCCCTGTGTGGCAAGCTGCTCACACTAGTGTCCACGAGAGATTACATTGAGGATTGTGTGGAAGAGCTGAGGCAGGCAAAGCAAGAATTCAGAGAGCTGAAAGCTGGACAAAACCGCAAAGAGCGTGAAGAGGCTGCTGCCAGGTTTGTATATAATTATTTAACAAACTTCATATTGGTTTATGTAAAAGGTGTTATGTTCAAAGATACTTACGTAGAAGTTTGAGTTTATCAAAGCTGAATATATGTAGCATAGTAGGAAGCAATTCTTTTCAAACACACAACTAATTGGCAAAGTTAAAGAACTCCAGGATGCACATCACTTTATATATTTAGGTCCCTCTCTGTCAGAGAAAGCAAACTGCTGTAACAGTTTATCATAAAAGTACTTCCTTTTCTTATAATCTTTGTTTTTTAGCTAACAGTGATGCCACATCCTCCAATGCACAGATCAGTTCTTCCTGCAGCCAGTGGGAGGGTCTGGTTAACCAGTGCGTGTCATATCCTGGCATAATGAGCTGACTACATCCCCCATGAGGCATTGTGACATAAGAGGATGTGGGAGGCGTGTATTCCCTGTGCAGAGGGTGGAGTTGGGAAGAGCTACAAAGTGATATGCTCCAGTGACTTATGTTTTTTTGCTGAGTGCAGATACAGAGAATAAATGCATTACAGGTGCCTCGGCATGACAATTCCCCTGCATTAAATTCATCCTACCTACCTACCGAATTGTTCTTTTCAGTAAAATGGATGAAATGATTCATCTGACGGAAGTGAGAACTGATTTATTTGAAAAAGTTCAGTGTTGAATCAATAGGAAAGCAGCTCTGGTAATATGGTCCTAAAGTGAGTGAGGTCAGCTTCTGCCAGTCTCTCCCTGCAACCAATCAGCCAGCTAACCATACACTGAGAATCAGAACTTACAACAGTTCTGAGTCAATAGTACACTAGTACAGTGAATCAAAGAATCATGAGTCTCCAGTAGAACATCGTACACTGAATCAAAGAATCATATGAGTCTCCAGTAGAACACCGTACACTGAATCAAAGAATCATATGAGTCTCCGGTAGAACACCGTACACTGAATCAAAGAATCATATGAGTCTCCGGTAGAACGCCGTACACTGAATCAAAGAATCATATGAGGTCCGATAGAACACCGTACACTGAATCAAAGAATCATGAGTCTCCAGTAGAACACCGTACACTGAATCAAAGAATCATATGCGTCTCCGGTAGAACACTGTACACTGAATCAAAGAATCATATGAGTCTCCGGTAGAACACCGTACACTGAATCATATGAGTCTCCAGTAGAACACAGTACGGTGAATCAATGGTCGGGTTGGTGGTAAGGGACAGACAGCCTTGCAGGGAGATATAAGCAAGATGACACACAGTCTGGATGAGAGGAGATCCTAATTTAGATTGATACTTTAACCCTTTAGATTGAGTTGGCTCCTGAGCTTCAGTTCACTTGTCAGCAGACTCGGCAAGTGAAACGATGAATCGATTCATGTAAAAGATCCGAACTTCCCATCACCAGTGTGGAACAGCAGCATGTTTTACACTGAGTTCCATCAGCCCAGTCGCGGGGGAAGGAGGTGTGACAGAGCAGGGAGCTGCACTAAGTGGGCAGGGCACTAAGACCGCCCTACTCCATCCACTTCAGTGTGTGCTGGGATGTCATCACTTCCCTGCTGACTAAAATATAACTATAGGGGGAGGTTATTAGACCACTGGCTAGGCTGATAGTGGTCTAATAACCACAGTGGCTGGTGGTCTAACAGAAAGGAAATAAAGGAGACAGAGGCTTGTACCATGCATTTCTGGAAGATTACATTGCTATGTAGAAAGGTAAGCATATATTTTGAATGCTTCCTAAAGCTAGTTACAGTAGGCTGGCAACATTTTTTTTTTTCCACGGAGGTCTTCTTTACACCCCCTTCCTGTGCAGGCCATTTTTCAATATTCAGCATTGCATTATTGTGACATTTATTCAGTCATGCAACGCTGTACTGAAATTAAATTTATGCCATTTTTTGGGGACACAGAGCTTTCTTTTGGTGGTATTTAATCACCACTGGGGATTTTTTACTGTATAAAGAAAAATAAGTACTGAAAATTTTGAACCCGCCCCCCCAGTTTTTCCCTACTTTGTTATAAAACTTTTGATTGCCCAATTTTTGGGTAAAATATAAAAGACGGGGTCACGTCGGGTAAATGGACACCAAACATGCCAAGCTTTAAAATTGCCCGCTAAATCGCAAAAAACAACCATTCCCAAAATTTGCCATCGGTAAAAGCTTTTAAAGTGTCGCCTCATCAGATCACTGTTATCAGTGATTGATGGCCCTAAAATTAATGCTCATGCTCTGACTTTCGCAGTCATATGTAACATGTGCATCGCAATCATTGTTTTCACATGTATGCACACCTGACACATGTTTGCGCGTGTATACGTAGGTGGGGGACTTAAAAAAAAAAAAATTTAGTTCCCCCCCCCCCCCTCAATTAACTGTATTGCTATCAAATAGGGGGATAACTATGCTCCCTATGTGATGGCCAATATACAGTGACGGGTCCTCTTTATGGAAGTATCAGGGGTCTATGAGATCCCTAATGTCACCTAGGGACACCAGAGAAGCTGATGAAGCAGAGATCTGCTTCACTAGCTTCTCCCCAGCTTCTGTAGCCAGGAATGACAGCTGATCATACATCACTGCCTGCATTCAGAGAACGGGGAGGAGATCAGAGGGAGATCGTGTACTGATCTCCTGTCGCAGAGCCGCTGTGCCGGTATCGGGCACAGCAGAGCTCGGGATCAGCGGTGGCGGAAGGGGGGAGGAGGAGGGCGCCCGCCCGCACGCAAAATACAAGCGAATGGGTGTCTACAGACGCCGAAACAGTTGTATGTAAACAGCCATCAAGCAGATTTCCCGCTTGTGCGTGCCCCCTAGTGGCGGGCACGAGCGGGGCAGGAGAGGACGTCTAAAAATGCCCACCCGTATTCAAGAAGTCGGCCGGACAGCAGGTGGTTAGACATCAGATACACCCTCTCATTCATTGGGGCTAACAGCAGACTCCTGGGCTATAAAGTTTACAAACAGACAGTTGAGACAAACATCTGCAGTACTGGGTGTCTGTTTGGGCATACTGTTCTTTGGAAATAGGTCCAGTTTATTTTTTCTTAACATTACATTAATGTCAGGTGTTTTTGTGTAAATATTTTAACTACGTAACTGTGTGGCTTTTTTATTTTTTATTAAAACTTTGTTTTAGGTGTACAGTGTTTAGGTGACACTTGCAGTGACAGTGCTTGTGCAGTGTACACTGATTGGATGAGAGGGACAGGTACTAAGGTTTTGCTTTCAAGAGACCGCTCAGGGGAGTTGTCACCATTGTGGTGATGATCACTAGTAGTCCACAGATCAGACTGACGATAGGCAGTGACAGTCTGTAGAAATTCAGCTTCAGAAATGTTCTTACCTTATGCTGACAGCACTGCCAGGATAGAGTATGTCTATTAGTTTGCAAGGTTTTTAACCTGTAAAATAGTCTCAATGTGTGTGAGAGCTTTTTGACTTGGCTTAAAGGGTTTCTAAACCCTCAGCTTTTTGCATATATCTACGCCTAGCAAGCAGTAGATATATGCAAAAAGTGGAGGAAAAAAAACGCTTTAACAGTGGTTTAAACTTATTTCTGGGGCGGCCGCAAAGCATGCGCAGTTCACAGTTTCGACCGGGACGCGAGGAGGGACGCAAGGTAAGTCTATGGATGCGTGCACCTGCATGCAAACACCATGAGACAGGAAGTGACAGCTATCCCAGAGGTGTCGGCGCTGGATCAGACACCCGCCGCAGTGCTGGAGAGAAGGCTGAAAAATCAGGAAAGAAGAAGATTGGATTAAGAGACATCATTTAAGGTAAGTGCTTTAACCACTTCCGGGCCGCAATACGTCTATAGACGGCGGCCCTTTTGAAGTGGTTAAAACAAGAACACGGCTGCTGCAGCAGCCGTGTTCTTGGTACCGCTCTTAACAGCAGGCGATTGCTATTAATTTACAAGCGATCCGACGTCTGTACAGGCGCCGGATCGTTTGTACCGTGCGTCGGCTGTCCCCGTGTGGCGCCCGGGAGCGGCCCGAAGTGACCGTAGAGAGATTCAGCGGCTTCCAGCCGCTGATCTCTCCTCCGATCACTGGACCCGGAAGTGATGTGTATTACATCACTTCCGGTGCCACTGTACACAGTCTCCAGCTCTTAGAGCCCGGAGATGAAGCTGGGGGAAGCAGATCTCTGCTTCCTCAGCTTCTTTGGGGTCCCTAGGTGACGGGGGTCTTCAAGACCCCTGATGTCTCCATAAAGAGGACCTGTCACACCCTATCTGCTATTAGATAGGGTGCTTGTTAGCTCCCTGTGTAATAGCAATAGGGTTAGTGGGAAAAAAATAAAGTGTTACGTTTTAAAAATGAAAGTAACATAAAAGAAAAATTGTTATGCACGCACATACACACGCAAACACGCATCGGTGCGCCTACGTGCGAAAACGACAATTGCGCTACACATGTCGCATATCGCCGCGAACGTCGGAGTGAGAGCAATAATTCTAGCACTGTCAATTAGGGATGCACCGATATATCGGCTAGCCGAAACGTATCGGTCGAAAATGACACTTTTGGCATAATGCTGAAAGTGCCATGTTTCGGCCGATCGGCGCATCCCTGCTTTCTCTCCTCCCCGTGTGTGTCACAGCGGGAAGAGAGAAAGTGTCACAGGCGGCCAAGCGCTGCGGTAGGAGAGCGCTGTTAACGGCCGGTGTCTCCTCCCACACCGCTCAGCCGCCTATCACAGTCCGGCAGAGCGGTGTGTGGCCGGAAACATTCCGCGCTGTCACAGAAGGCTGAGCTCTCCCTGCACTGCTTGATCAGCCTCCTGTGACAGTGTGTGTCAGAGAGGAGAGCAGGCTACAAACAGTCAGTGATCGCTGAGTGTTTGTACATAATTGAAGCTATGGTATGTTAACTATAGCCTCAATTATGAATGAATGGGAGTGATATACATCACCTCCTGTCCATTCATAGTTGTAGTTATAGTAAATATATCATATCCTCATGTTATCAATCAACAGAAACACTCATAGAGGATCCCTGTTCATTGATAACTGAGGCTGCAGAAAAAGAGATAGAAAAAGAGATTTAGGACACAAAGTCCTCTATTTTAAAAGGGAAATATCAGGGGTCTGTTTAAAAGTAAAAAATAAAAATATTTATTAAAAAATGAATTAATAAATGCAAATATAAAAAAATTTTTTAAAGGTTTATTAAATAAAAAATATTTGAAAAAATAAAAAACATTTTCGGTATTGGTTTCAGCCTGACAGTTTTTTTTATTTCGGTTTTCGTTTCGGTTTTTAAATTTCCATTTCAGTGCACCTCTACTGTCAATGACTGTTAGCACTAAATTGATGAGCGGTAAAAGCGTTGAAAATGTTCTCTATGGGAAATTTGGAGTGTTTACTTTTTTTGCGGCTTCACAGGCGAACGCAATTTTAAGGCTTGACATGTTTGGTATCTATTTACCCGACGTGATCCCGTCTTTCATATTTTACCAAAAAATTGGGTATTTTATTCGGTTTCTGTGCACTAAATTTTAATTTTAGTTTATTTTTTCCTAAAAATACGGGTTTGATAAACATTTGCGCAAAAACCGTGCGACTTAAAAAGTTGCACCTAGCATTTTTTTATTCTACAGGGCCTCAGCTTTCAGAAAAAATATAATTGTTGGGGGTCTGAAGCTGTTTTCGAGCCAAAAATTTATATTTTATCATGTGTGTGCAAATAGTAGGAAAATGCCCTGGATGGCAAGTGGTTAATTAACGTTGGGGTGAGGGGAAAAAAAGTTGCCTTTAATGTCACTTGAAAGTCTAAATCCCAATTTTTATTTTATTTTTCCATTTTGTATGGAATGGGCAATGGGGAGCTCTTTAAGGAGATTTCACTTCCTGTTCTTTAGACTTAACGGGAAGACTCAAAAGGAAGTGAGAGAATATCTGTCCAATGTGAGGGAAATCCCTCTTAGACTTTTGTCACAGGAACAAGCGTCCTCATTGCAAGATTTCCCCTCTATTCCCATTCTGGTGGAAACTCAAAATTTTCAGATTTACCCTCACTTTTATCATAAGAGACATTGGTGATCAGGACAATTGGAGTGTGAATCTCCCTAAGTGAGACACAGACACCAATAAAATCACGACAACCCCACTCTATCCAAATCTAAGTAGGTATGGAGGACCAGAGCTACGAGATGAGGCTACTAAATTTAAACATGTTCACATTGGAGGTGAGGAGATTAACGGGGGATATGATTTCCATGTACAAAATGTTCAATGGTGATAGCAACATTAGCGATAAACTGTTTAAAATTAACTCCGTTACAAAAACTAGAGGCCATCACCTAAAATTGGTGGAAAAAAAATTCCAGCACAAGGGGCGAAGGGGGTTCTTCACAGTAAGATCAGTTAGGGTCTGGAACTCACTGCCACAGACAGTGATTTCAGCAAAGAATGTGGAATTGTTCAAGAAACTTTTGGACGATTTCTTAAGGGACCGTAATATACAGGGGTACAGGTACTCCTAGAATGAGATCCTAATAGGTTGGACTTGATGGACTAATGTCTTTATTCAACCTCAAATACTATGTAACTATGTAAGTACTTTAAGTATGAATAATATTGTTACGTTTCTTTTGGCTCTTAAAAGGTTAAAACATTTTCTATGATACTATATGCCATACATTGTAATGTACAGTATTAGGATGTGTATGCAGTTCTGGAAACATTAATTGAAAGAGGGAATTATGTTTTTCTCCTCCTGTATCATGGTAAAATCTAGAATCCGTAAGCGTAAGGAGGAAAAACTGAAGGAGCAAGAACTGAAGATGAAGGATAAAGAAGATAAACTAAAAGAAGATGAAAATAAGGACGTGCATAAAGCAGCAGGGTAGGATGCAGTGTTTTTACAGAAGTGACAGTAATGACTGGTGTGATAGTGTAGGTTTTATGTTTTGGTACAACAGTTTAAAGCATCCTCTTACCTCACCATATTAGGCTTTGTACAGTTATTCACATGTGTTTGCCACATATTTTCAGAAATGAAGAGCAAGAGGAATTGCAGGATGGGACAGTGAGTAAGAATACTGAGCAGAAGGAGCAGGATGAAGGCAATGAAGATGAAGAGGTGCCACCTGCTGGCAAGAAAAGGAAAGGTACCTGTTGTAATATGGACTGTTCATATCCATAGCAAGTTATTTATTTATTTTCTTTCTCATGCAGCCTCCAAACCAAATTGAGTTTATGTATGGCTGTGTATATGAGTATATTTAATGCTATAGATTTGATATATTCAAATTAAAACCGAGCAAGTATGGGCTTCACACAAATTTTGCACTAAAAAAAAGAAAATTCCTAAGTATACATACCTTTTTCCCCAAAGAAGTCACGGCCCGTCTTGCTTGGTGGTGGTGGTGGTCTGTACAGCAGCACCGAACTTCGATCACTTAACAGGATGTAAGCAATGTTTTGGGCATGGAGGCAGTAGCCTGTGTCACTCAGCCTTAAAACCGAGGACATTTTGATGCAGAAAAGTATTGCAGGGGGCAGCTGTAGACTGACAGTGAGTATTTCAGTGAAAGCTGTGTGTGTGTGTGTGTGTATATATATATATACACAATGTCAGTGCTACACATTTTTCTGAACTCCTCAAACCCTCCCCCTAGCCTATTCTCCACCAAAAGGGAACAAAGAAGAGATCATTGTTGGGGTTTACATATGCTTTAGAGTGTACCGATTGTCCTGTATGGGCAAAGCATATTGTCGCTTTAGGCCAAGCAGCCATCAGTTAGATGGTTAAGGTTGAATAAAGACACAAGTCCATCGAGTTCAACCCGTGTGTGTTTGTTACTAAGATTACCTGTACCTCTGTATGTCTTGCTCGTTTAGACAAGTACCTAGACGGGTCTTGAATGATTCCATACTCTCAGCTGATACCACTGTCTGTGGAAGGGAGTTCCACAATTTTACAGCTCTCGCAGTAAAGAATCCCCAGCTCCAGTTTAGGATTAAACCTTTTCTCTTCCAGTTTCAGATGGTGGCCTCTTGTTTTCTTGAGTGAACTAACAGTAAACAGTTTATTACTGATTATCCCATCACCATTAAACAATGTGTACATTTAATATCATGTCCCCTCTCAGTCTCCTTCTCAAGAGTGAACTAGTTTAACGCATGCAGTCTTTCCTGATAATTTAGGTCCTGTAAACCTTTGATTAGCTTTGTGCCCCTTCTCTGGACTCTCTCCAGCTCAAGGACATCCTTTCTGTGGATCGGAGACTAAAGCTGAACCGCATACGCAAGATGTGGCTGAACGTGTGTTTTGTACAGGGGCAAAATAATGATTGGTCTTTACAGTCCATTCCCTTTTTTTTATGCATGATAGAACCCTGCTTGCCTTTTTTTCTGCTGCCTGGCATTTCATGTTGTTACTAAGGCGACAGTCCACTAGGACTCCCAAAACTTTTCTACATCTGATTCCCCCAGTGGAACGCCCATTAATGAGTAGCTTGCATGTGTATTTTTAATTCCGAAATGCATAACCTTACACTTCTTGATATTAAATCTCATCTGCCATGTACATGTCCACTTCCCAATTTTATCCATATCTTCCTGAAGTATTGCTATGTCTTCAATTGCGTTTATTACCCTACAAATTTTAGTATCAGCAAAAACTGAAATATTGCTAATAATATTAGTCCCAATATAAACAGGTTGAACAGAAATGGCCCCAGGACAGAACCCTGGGACACACCCTGCTAACCAAGGACTATTTGGAATATGAGCCATTTATTGATACTCTCTGGACACGTTGACTTAGCCAGTTCTCTATCCAAGTACACACCATTTCATCAATGCCCAAGGATTAAAGCTTGTAAATTAAACGTTTGAGGTACCGTACCAAATGCTTTCGCTTAATCAAGTACACTACGGCCACTGGCTTTCCTCCATCTAGGCTGCCACTCACTACATCAATAGAACGCTAATAGGTTGGTTTCACATGAACTGTCTTTCCTAAAGCCATGTTGGTTGCCACTTATGATATCATGCAGCACTTGGCTTCCTGTGCTTAAAGTGTATCTAATCCCAATAACAAAAATGTAATGTATTGCAACTTACTGGTCCTTAGATATAGTGGCCAGTGCTGGTAACGCATTTCCTGTTCTATGCTTGCTCAACCTACTGTATGTATGATTTAGACTGGACACTTTTCTCTCTCCTCATCTCTTTTACATAGGTGGAAGGTGTGCTGAAATTCACAGAAGATAGCTGGGAAAGCTGATAACCTTGTTTTGAGGTTTCAGTTCAGTCCACAGAAAGTTAAAAGCACACTGGATTTCTGGCAGGATCAACAGATTTTCTGTATTTGAAGAAAATGTATTTAGTCGAAAGAAAGGGGAAACTAATGTGGCCACCACATACAAGGCTTCATGAGCTGCAAATATTTAAAATTTTTGAGTTTAGATATGATTCAAAGATATGATCTAAATGTATTAGAAATTACAAAAATGATACAATTTTTTTTTTTTTTGTTACATAGGCATGAGAGGGCAGAACAGAGATTCTCTGGGTAATAAGGAAGCAGAACCTGTGGATGGGGAAGAACCAAGACAGAAAATAGAGAAACGAGAGCTGGAGTTAATGGAGAAGATTCAGCAAGTCACAGCCTGCACAAACATAACCCCTTTAGGCCGAGACCGCGGGTACAGACGGTTTTGGACTTTTTTCTCTGTTCCAGGACTATTTGTGGAAGAGGACTATACTGGGATTACAGAGGACATGTTGCAGCCTCGTCCTGCCTCACATCGAGAATCGGAAATTAATTCTGCAGTCAATGGCCATGATGGTTCTGTGCAGGAGGTACAAGAGGAATCGGAGGCGTCTAAACCAGTGAACAAACCAAATCGCTGGTGTTATTACAGCTCAAATGAACAGCTGGAGCAGCTGATTGAGCATTTGAACACACGGGGACACAGAGAGGGCACCCTAAAGGACACATTGGTACAGGAAAAATCAAGAATATGCCAGAAGCTGAGTAACTTTCCAGCTGAGCTCTTCAACATTTCAGGTATTTCATAAAAAATACTCTACAGATATACAATATTCCATTCTTCTACATTGAAATGAATTGTTAAGGCAAGCATTACATGTTTTCTTTTGTTTAGGGTACCATAAGAAGGCACTCTTACTTGCCGTATCCCTTGCTTCCCCCCACCATCCTGGTGCTTCTAAAAAAATAAAAATCTGTCTTTAGCAGTCCTGTCTGACATAAGAAGAGGTCAACCTTCCAATTTCCTAGTTTTTGCTACCCAGTTCTCCCTACTTTGTGTTCTTACAAGCATCTAGCAGACAGAAAATGAAGAGGAATTTCCTAAATAAAAACACAGTGTAATAAAAAAAAAAAAAAAACTGTGCAAAAAAATGGACTGACTGCAGTTTGGCTTAAAGTTAGAATGCTTCATTTATTTCATTTTTTTAATCAACTATTTTCATTGCTAGTCCATCTTCCCTTTTAAAGTGTAATTCCACTTTTGCATTCGAATTTGAGGAAATGCCTGTATGTTTGTGTTTCTATTCACACAACATAACGAAAACAAATTGTTTACAAAAATATTTCTTTCTTTTTAGATGTTTTGTTGCTACAGGTAAATGGCTGGATTCAGTTTTTGAGGACCTTCAGTGATCTGTCCTTTTATAGAAAGTTTGTGAATTGTGTTTTCTCTCATTAACTTCATTGCATAAAATACAGTAGCCAGGCCTTTATTCATGTAATCCTTTGTTAGGACAGGTAGTGCACAAATCTACTTTTGAATTCTAATTAACCCCTTCGTGACTGACGACGTACAGTGTACGTCGCCAGCATCGGGGCTGTTTAAACAGACTCCCGGTGACTTTTGCCGCCGGGACTCTGTTTAAACTTGTAGAGCCGACTGTCGGCTTTACAACAGAAGCGATCCTGGCGACTTACCATTTGCAACTACCACCATTTTATTCTATAGGGTCTTGGCATTCAGAAAATATATAATGTTGGGGGGTTTTAAGTAATTTTCAGGCCTAAAATGTGGAATATAACATGGGTACAAAAAAATGAAAAAAAGGCCTCAGTCATGAAGGGGTTAAATGAGCCGACGCAGTACAGATGGTTAACACAAATCCTTCACCCCTCATTACTCTACCTAACATTACAAAGGAGGAGAAGCAAGTAGAAATCTTAACCTTTTAAGTAGGTTAAGATTTCTGTTAAGTGCCTAAGTGCACCGAAATGGAAATTTTAGAACCGAAACGAAACCAAAATAAAAAGTCAGGCCGATACCGAAAATGTTTTTTATTTTTTTAAATATTTTTATTTTTTACTTTACTTTTAGGGGCTAAACAGACCCCTGATATTTCCCTTTTTAAAATAGAAAAAGAGATTGAGAACACAGAGTCCTCAATCTCTTTTTCTGTGTCCCCTGTTATCAATGAACAGGAATCCTCTGAGTGTTCCTGTTCATTGATAACTTGAGAATATTGTTTGTTTACTATAAATACAATTATGAATGAATGGGGGTGATGTAGATCACTCCCATTCATTCATAATTGAGGATATAGTTAACATACCATATCCTCAATTATGTACACACACTCAGCGATCACTGATCGCTGAGTGTGTGTACCTTGCTTTTCTCTGACACGCTGTCACAGTAGGCTGATCGAGCGGTGTAGAGAGGAAAGCCCAGCCTCCTGTGACAGCGCTGTCTCCGCCCCCACACCGCTCTGCCGGACTGTGATAGGCGGCTGAGCAGTGTGTGGGAGGAGCGCTCGGCCGGCTGTCACTTTCTTTTCTTCCCGCTGGAACAGCGGCCAGGGGGGAGAAAATAAACCAGGGATGCGCCGATGTTACGGCCGAAGCATGGCTCTTTCGGCATTATGCCAAAAGTGCCATTTTCGGCCGATATATCGGTGCATCCCTACTTTTAAGAAGCCACGAAACCTTAACCCAAGCATTTTTTGTATATTTTTTTTTGGGCTCATGCAATGTGAATGGGAACATGTAACAAAAATAAAATAGATGTTATGACAATTTAGCTGTGAAAGTGGGAAGAAACTTCCAAATCCCAGATTACAAAGATTAATTTCTTCAATAATACACCTTCCTGCACGATTTTATAGCAGACCTCTCGTGGGAGGAATTCCTAGGTTACCACTAGTGAATTATCGCCTGAAAATGCTAGTTGCCATGCTCTTTTGCAGAATTGTAGTTTTGCATACTTGCACTTCAGTGGTTTTGGCCCTTCACTGTTTGGTGCAGAGATCGTTTGTGCTTTTCGTTCAAATAAAATAAACTTCATCGTCCATTTAGGGACACTGCATTATTAGGGGCTATGCATTATCCGAGACGTAGGGTAGGGTTATGCCGCTGCCTATAGGAGAAATGCACACTAGGCAAACAAAGTTAAAAACCTGCTACTCCCACCTTTCACTTAGAGTCCTCAGGAGAAAGGATGTCTCCTTCACTTCTGCTTTTTTATTTTCATTCTTGAAGGGAATTTTATTGCTTTAGGCTGCTAATTGAGTCATACCGGATAATGTTAAATCCTGGGAGTTCTCATTAGCCAGCCAACAGGACAGAGATTCATACTGGATAGAAATAAACCCTGGAAGCTTCTCTGGTCTTCTTGATGCGGGTCCTCTCTTGTCTCAGTACTTATGACTCGTTCTGCGATACCCAGAATCTATTAAGATCTTCATGATGCAGAGTGTCTCTGGTCTCATTACTTATGACTTGTCCTGTGATGGGCTGGAAACTATTGTAATTTTCAAGCAGCAGGTCATCTCAAGTCTCCGTGTTCTGCAGTACGCGGATGTGCCTTGATCCTTCTGTGGAGGTCAGGTCAGTATATATGTGAAGATCTGGGTTATGGTGTGTTAACTGTTGTATGATATATGGATGGGTTTTTAGTATGTCCTCTTTTTATGTGTATAGGCTGTGGGACCTTCCTTTCACTCCCTTTGACTTTTCTGTCTGTAGTTGGACTTTCTGTGACATCTCTTTTTTGTTTTTACAAAAAAATAAATTTGCCCTGCCCCTCCTAAGAGGCTTTGAATTGGGTTGATGATGCATTTGTAATTCAACTGCACATGTGCGTGCACTTGGGGCCATTTCTTGTGATCGGGATAGCTTCTGTTGGTAATTGACTATTCGGGGATTCCCTACATAGGATTATTAAAAAGGCCACAGGCGGTAAAAGCGAGCATTTGCTTAAAGTGAGAAAATCTCTTCTAAATTTGATATCTGCTGTGACACCTGGCAACCCATTTTTCAAACTCTTGTTTTAAGACTAAAGACTTCCTTTTTACCCAAGGTGGTTTCAGCCTTTCATTTAAATGAAGATATTGCTTTGCCTTTCCTTTGTCCATCCACGGTTTACCCTAGGGAAATATCTCCATTGTTTAAATCAGTGGTCTCAAAGTACCGTCCCGCGGGCCGGTTGCGGCTTGTGAGCTGATACACAGCCAGCTCATAAGTCAGGTAAGTGGTCGCGGACCAGACTTGCGAGAGCAGCTACACGGTCTGCATCCCTGTCAGATGCAGACCGCAGTGCCGGCACTCGGATCCTTTCTGCCGACGCCATCGCTGAACGCCAGCCAAAAGGATTGATTAGTAAGGTCTGCAGCAGACCTTACCAATCAACCACTAGATCACCAGGGATCGATTGAGCCTCCTCCCTGCAACAAGGTAAGCAGGGAGGAGGCTCTGTATTCTCTTTTGTGTGGGTGGGGGACGACGACTGGGAATTATACTATTTTATATGGGGGGAGGCCTGGGAATTATATTTTGTATGTGTGGGGCTGGGAATTATAGTATTAGATATATGTGTGTGTGGGGGACTGGGATTGTGTGTGTGTGTGTGTGTGTGTGTGTGTGTGTGTGTTTTTTTAGCACGCGCGTATTGTGATATTTGGGGAATGTAGCACAAATGACGAGCGCTCAAAGACCAGTCTCGAAGCCACGTTGGCATAAACAGGATAGTCTTTATTTCTTTCATCAACAGAAAACAAAGCTTCAACATACAGTCTGCTAATGTCTAAGCAAGTAGACAATGTCTCACCGACCAAAGATTGTTGCACATACTCTGTGTAACTGGCTCTCTCAGCCTCCTTGGCTGTCTTCCCTGTGCCTCTAGCACACACAGCTTCCTGGCTTCTAGGTGGAGTCCGTCTGACTCCTGGACACAACCTGTCCCTCCTCCCAGCTGGAGCTCTCATGTGCCTGCAGCCCTCAACACACCAAGTCCTCTCTTGAGCTCTGGTCTGAGCTCTTAATGAGGCTGCTCTCAGCCACCTGATGACTGGCAACATCTGACCCCTGGACTGGAGATTTCATCCCACCCTGAACTCTTAAGGTGCCCATACACTGTATGATTATCATACGAGAATCGCGGGAAAACCTGCGATCGTACGATAATCGCAAAGTGTATGGAAGGCGTGCGACCGTTGCTACTGTACGGTCGCACGTCTTCCGTCGAACAAGCAGGCTTGAAAACCCGCCGAAAATCGTACAATTCTCGGCGGGTTAGTGGCCTGCTTGTTCAACAACTGCCAAACGGGTCGGTGTGCGCACGCGCACACTGCCTGTTTGCAGTATTCGGAAGCCCGCCCCTCATTGCAGTCATCTGAAGCCCGACCCTCAGGGGGGCGGGCTTGTGATGATCGCAAGTACGATCTGCCTGTCCTAGATGGGCAGATCGTACGAGCTTTTAATTAGCTTACAACCATCGCAAGACAAAAGTCTTGCGATGGTTGTAAGGTGTATGGGCACCTTTAGAGATCTCCAGAGATCCAGATCCCAGCTACAATCTGGAAAAACTGGAAGAAACTGAAAGGCCAGTTTCTTCCCTGCAGAACTATATACATTCTGGAACCTCTCAGCCCCTCTGGCTGAGAGTAATATATATGTCATATATATGTGTGTGTGTATTAGGGCTGCAACAACTAATCGACATAATCGATTATAATCGATTATTGAAAAAGTTGTCAACTTTTTCAATCATCGATTTAATCAGCTTCCAATTAGTTGGCCCTGTTCACAGCTCCACACAAGGAATACCACCAGCTGTGGAGGACTACAAAACCCAGCAATTATACAGTGGTGCAATGCCGAATACCACTAGTTATAGAGGACTAGAAAACCCAGCAATAGTATACCAGGAGTAGAATACCACCAGCTATAATGTACAATTGCTGGGTTTTGTAATTTTACTTTCACCGCTCCAACCTTGCTCCTGTGATGGACTGCAATCTCAATACAAACTAGTAGTCCCATCACTAGAGCCATTTAAAAAAATTTATTTTATCCGATTAATCGAACTCAATAATCGGCTAACTAATCGATTTTGAAAATAATCGTTAGCTGCAGCTCTAGTGTGTATAGATATCTATCTATCTATCTATCTATACACATATATGGGATGGGGCTGTCTCTTGAATCATCTGTCGGTGCGGGGTTGTTGGTCTCCGGAGGAATCCAAGCTTCCAATTTTATGTTCTGGCGATTAGTCTGACGTTTCACTGGGACCCGTCTTCTGTCTGTGTGTCCAATTCGGATTCAGTCAGACAATGCTACGGCGATGGCGTACATCAATCACCAAGGAGGCAGCAGCAGTATGTCGGCGGCGACAGAACTACATTCGACCTTAGATTGGGTGGAACTTCAAGTTACAGCAATTTTTAGGTATTTCAACAACTTTGTCACCACTGGGCAATGCCAGATTTGGATCTTCTGGCTTCTTATCACAACAAGAAGGCAACCAGATTTGTGTCCAGAGCAAAAGATCCAGTGGTGGATACCTTAGTTGCTCCGTGGGATCAGCCCACACTAATGCATGTTTTTCCTCCACTAATGCTGTTACCTCTGGTGCAGGGTAGTGTGTGTGTGTGTGTGTGTTCGTTCAGGGGTGTGGAATTCCTATCGCCCGGGACAGGTAGTTTCGGGCGTCGGGCGAGTAGTTTTTTACTACATTTAGCCCGGCTGCGGGCAAGCAGCACTGCTAAATGTAGTGTGGGAGCCGTTTTGTATGAGTGATTTTAAACGGCTGTGCAGCCGTCCAAAAATCACTTGTAACCTGCCTGAATCTCGCTTCTCCTCTCCTCCTCCCCCCTCCCCTCTCCATGTAACCCCATTGAAATCAACACAGCCTCGCCCAAGTCTGTACCCGCCCCAAACGGTAAATTCACTTTCCCAAGTAATTTGGAAAAATTGATTTACCCACACAAATCTGGTACAGACACCATGCCCCCCACTATACTTACCTTTCAGGGAACGGTCCTTCCCATCCGCCAGTATGTGTGTACTATCTGTACCTGTGCCATTGTAATCTGAATTTCGCTCTCAAAATTCAAGCACTCGTTGGTCAGCGCAGGCATCTGACGGCACTGAGCAACGAGAAGCTCTTGGCATTGCTAAATACGGTTATGGTTAAATTTTTTTCTTTTTTTGTATCAGCACAAGTAGATTTTCATGAGGGACAAGTAGATCAGGCCCCCGCTTTAGTCCTTGGACAAGTAGTTTTTTTTTTTTAATTTCCACACCCCTGTTGCGTATGTATGTATGTATCTGTGTGTGTGTGTGTGTGTATATATAATATATACAATGTGCCTTGAGCTGCTCCATCTGTACAGGTTCTCATGAATGCGCAGCAGCTTCTACAAACTGCTGTCACTCAATGGGAGAGGAGGATCCCGACAATATTGTCTGAATCGCTTCTCTGCACAGAGCATAGCCCTACCCACTGTATATTGCATTCAATTTTAAGCTTATGTTGCATTTTTTTTATTACAGGAGTACATTGCAAAATGTACTCTTGTCTCATAAAGAAACATGCAAAAAAAATGTTCCCCCATAGTTCTCCTTGATGAACAATAGAGGAAATAGGTTTTTGTTCTTGCTGTAAAATCCTTTTCTTGGGGTCCCTTGAGAGACACAGCTCCCTACCCTTAAGTTCCTTTGTACTGTTTACTACAACTGGCAGGTGTGAGGTGGGTGGCAGCAGCATAACCCTATGTCTCAGAATTCTTTAGAGCTGTGTCCCTCAATTCATTCTGAGAAAAGGATTTTACAGAACAAAGTCCTATTATTTTTCTTTAAATGCAACTAGTTCCTAACTTTTGGCTTGAAATCACCCACTTGGAGTGTGTTACATGCACATGTGCTGACAAGACATTTTACCGACAAGAGAATAGAACAGAATGAGCAGAGGGAAGAGCTAATGTGTGGCTGCTTCTTAATTGCTCAGTTGCTGGCTGAGTGACCCAACGCTATATTGCTTAAAAGCAGTAGATAAATGTCAGGGTCACAACTCAACTGTGTTGTGTGGTAGGAACGTGTAAATTTGCATAAGTGAATTGACAGAAATAATAACAAATGCTTATGCAGGTAAATCTGTTGCTATATATCTATTTCTACTGTGTATTTAGTTGTTTGTCTGCAGTTTAGGTTTGACCTGTATTCTTCTAAACTTGCATGTAGTTGGCGCTACTGAATCTAAAGACCGTATATTGTTTCCACAGAAACTCCACCCCCTCAAGATAGAAAACCTGGACGAGGAAGATCATTAACTACACCGGATTCCACACAAACCTCAGGAGAGAAGCAGCTAGAACTGCGGCTGTGTGAGCTTTTGCTAGACATTGAAGAGCGCATCTACCAGGGCAGTCTTTTCACTGTAAAGGTAAGTCATCAGAGGCTGAGGACTGTATTCTGCACTCTGTTCTGTAGTTTGCTTTTTGGGATTTCAATATGTTTGCATACTGATGGGTTGAAGGATCATCAGGAGAGATGTACAGTACAGTCACATTTTATACATGTGTTTTCTTATGTGCAGTCCAGTCTCTGGCAACATCTGTTCATCTTTCTAACTTACATCCACTATAACATCCTATTTTATTCAATTGATTTTATCGTCTGGTTTTATAAAATCTGTTCCCCTTATTGTGAAATGGAAAGAACAGGGCTTTTGGCCCCAGTAGCTTTCTCACATTTCTTCTTTCTTTTTTGTATTGGGTACTGCATGATGTAAATGAGTGCCAGCAAATTATTGGAATTGCTTATCTCTATACGTGTTCTAGGTCAGGGACTTAGAAAGCATTGAAGTGTTAGTGTTAGCTCCGTGGCTGTCCTGCTAATGCTAACATTCTTGGACATGACCTACATTCTTCTATCTTGATAGGTGTAACAACTGTCTCAATATTGGTAAGATATGAAGTGAATTGTCAGAGTGATAGCCCATTCAGACCTGCATTGCGCGAATAAATCCACAACAGTTTTGTAGTAGTGCAGAGGAAGAAGTAGAGCCTGCATATGTAATGAACAAATATATCTGCCACCATGTGTACATACAATTGCAAATTATACACGAGTGTGGGTTTTTTGGTTTTGTTTTTTTTTAACACATAGGTTTTAAGGCAAGATGATGTGTTTCATGTTTAGTTGTTGTTTGGGGTTTTGAGAACACTATGCATTCCCTTTTAGCTTTTGAGAAAACTATACATTCTCTTTTTGCTTCTGGGCCAATGTTCTCTTTTTCACACACTTACTGAAATGCATGCTGTTGGTCGAAAATTGCTTGGGTCACAATCGCATATTTGAGCAACTGTTTAGCAAGCTAATCTTCTCCGTGTAAAATACAATAAAACTAACTTCAGTGCTGACAAACAGAACCCCCATCCTTTTTTTTTTTTTTTATGAAATCATCTTACATTCATATAAAAAAAAAAAAAAAAGGATTTTTTTTTTTGGCATAAAATGCTTTTCTCTGAGTCCATTGAGGGACACAGTTGTGAAGAATTTTGAGATGTAGGGTTATACTGTTGGCTCTAGGAGACTGAACACTAGGCAAAAAAAAAAAAGTCTGCCACTCTAAGGACATAACACCTCACCCCTGCCAGTTGTATGAAGCGGTACAAAAGGAAATAAGGAAAGGGAGCTTTGTCCCTCAAATAGACTCTCTGAGAAAAGGATTTTATGGTAACCAAAGCCTATTTTTCGCTATCGTCCATTGAGGGACACAACTCTGAACTATCATCAGAAGAGGCAGAAACATCAGCTTTATAAAACTTTGCAAAAGTGTAAACCGAGGACCAAGTTGCAGCCTTGCAAAATCCGTAACAGAAGCTTGATGTTGAAATGCCCAAGAAGTACTAACAGCCCTAGTAGAATGAACAGGAAAAGGAGGAAGCTTATCCCGCAGCTTCTAATCTTGAATGACAACCTGATGAATCTACTTTGAAGTAACGGATCTAGAAGCTGAACAACCTTTTCTAGGAACTTAGGTAGAACAAAGAGAGTCTGAATGCCTAAAGGGAGCTGTGGCTGACTGATGAACATGAAAGCCTACACAGCATCCAAACAATGAAGAGATTTTTCCATAGGAGGAACAGGAGCCAAACAAAGTGAAGGTAAAACAATGTCTTTATTTCAACGAAAGACTGAAACTTGACAACCAGAGAAACTTCCAGCATTTAATGTATATGGCCTGTATCTCTCAGCTTTGTCGGCTCGCTAGAGAGACTTCCAGGATTTAATAATATCCGGTATGAATCAACTAGCAGCTATAAACTAAAATAAAACAGAAGAGAAGGAGACATCCATTCTCCTGAGGTCGCCAAGCAAAACTGGCAGATGTGAGATGGGAAAGCTTATGTCTTTAAAGTAACAGGCTTTTCATTATTTTGCCTTATGTCCATTTCTCTTTAGAGGCAGCAGCATAACGCCACGTCTCAGAATTCTTCAGAGCTGTGTCCCTCAATGGATGATGAACTTTTACTGCACATTCATTTAAAGTAAATGATGGCCCTAGAATGATTCCTCTTACTCCTGCACAGGGGGAAGGACATCCATGGTACATCCATTCTCTAAACGTCCTTTGCTTGGCATCTTGATGCATTTTTTCCTGATCCTGGGCTCTCAGGAGTGTCAGGTGAGCTTGAGGACTGCACATTGCTGTCATGTACTTTGCTTCCTCCTCACTTCAACATTACAGTGCAGAGCCAGTTGTACAGTTTTTAAAGCTTTGATTCCCATGACTTTTAATCCCTGCAGCAAGAGCTTGATACAATTAGAAAGTGGGCAGTGATGTGGCAGATGAGCTTTAATCTAGAAAAATGTAAAGTAATGCACTTGGGCGCTTAGAACAAGCATGCTGAATACACCTTTGGGCAGGGTTTGACTGGGGAAAACTGAGATGGGGAAGGATCTTGGGGTCCTTTATAGACCGTAGACTCGGCAATGGCATGCAGTGTCAAGCTGCAGCTAGCGTTGGTAGTATATTATCTTGCATCAAAAAGGGTTTATTCCCGGGATAGAAATATAATTTTGCCTCTCTACAAAACACTGGTAAGGCCCCCATCCTGAGTATGTGGTGCAATTCTGATCCCCAATCCTTGGATGGGATGTCGGTTAGCTAGAAAAAGTACAGAGAGGGGCAACCAAGTTAATAAAGGGAGATGGAGCATGTCGGTAACCTGGATCGTCTACAAAACTTAGGATTGTTCTCCTTAGAGAAGAGACACTTAAGAGATGACATGTTCACAGTTTACAAACTCATTAATGGGGACAGCAGTGTTGGGAATGCATTACTAAAACCAATTACTGTGAGGAAGACATGAGGGCACAACAAGAAGTTGGAGGGGAGGAGGTGTAATCGTAAACTGCGTAAGGGGTATTTTACTTTGAGTGGGTAAAGACAAGTGTTTAAAGGTGTATCTAGACTTGCACTAAACATGGATTTGTTTACAGGGCCTAAACCGTTAAGGAAACGGTATCAGTGATGTTTCCTAATGTTGATAGTGCCTGCCTCAGCTTCTTACTTTAATTCACCTCTTCATAGTATAGCTGTGAATATGTGGGCATCCTGAGCATTCATATTTAAGCTGCATCCACAGCCATCTCACAATGATCCTATCGTGCCTGAACATCCAGCTGTTCTCTGATATCTGTGGGCAGCTTTAAAAACTGAATTCAGCATTGCTATTGAAAATTGAGTAATATTTTGTTGGCTCTGTTGTCAAATATTCAGGTGATATAAGCACATCTGCCACAATTGTGATGCTTAAAGTGACAGTAAACTTGGGCATTAAACCTTAAAAATGCAATCAAGTACCTTTAACTTTTAACAAAAATGTATCTTATTTGTGTATCATTTAGCTGTAGATCCTCAAATCATCTCTGAATTGGTGCTGTCCTTCTGGAGGGTGACTACTTTTGTTCCCCAGGTTCCCTGCGTGTGTTGTAAAGTAGCCACCGCTCCAAGCTCGCTCCCATTATGAACTACAATCTCATGTTTGGCTTACTAATTTGTATTGAGATTGTAGTCCATCCTGGGAGCCGTGACTACTTTACAACACACACAGGGACCATGCGGAAGATACATTTTTATTAATAGTTTAATGTATTTGAATGTGTTTTTAAGATTTAACTCCTGAGTTTTTAGTGTCACGTTAATTCACATAGTATATAGATGATTTGGTTATTGATTGATTGATCCTTGTGCGCAGGTGCCAGACAGGCAGTTGTGGAGAGCAGCGCTGGAAAAATGTTCTTATGAATTCTTGGATAATGAACCAAAGGACAAATCCCTGAAAGTAGAAGAGAATGAGGTGGAGGAGATGGAAGTTGATGGCAAGCAAAGCATTGAAGATGGGTTAGTGGTGTATATATATATTTATATTTTTTAGACCTTTTGTACATTAAAGTGACATTAAACCCTCAGATTTTTTAACATAAAACAATACTGTAATGTGTGCCTTACTGTAATCCATGGTTGTTTCCCTTCTCTTTGCTGCTCTTCCTTTTAAATCTGTATCTGTTCTCATGCTGGGCAGAACTTCTGTTTTGCAGCAGACTGCCTTGTCTCAGGAATGGATATATGGTGTCTGTGTATAGGTTTGTAACCTAAGCCAGCACTACAGGAAGAGGCCCTGAGCTGCAAAGGGAAGTTCTCCCCAAGCATGAGAAGACATGAGGTTTTAAAAGGAAGAGCAGCAAAGAGAAGGGAAACTACCATGGATTACAGTAAGGCGCACATTACAGTATTGTTTTATGTTAAAAAATCTGAGGGTTTAATGTCACTTTAACCTTAAGTAACCTCTATAGGAGTTCTTTATTTCACTATCGAAAAACATCTCTTTAATTTGTCTATTATTTTAAATTGTCGTATCTATACCTGCCTGTAATCCTTTATAATAAACTCCTAAGGTGTATTTCAAGGCAACATATTAATCTGCAATACATTCACTTTTTCCCATGTTTTGCCTCTTTAAAAAGAGATTAATGGAGTTGAGGGAAGCGGGAGGTGTTCTGTAGTCAAATGGGGCTGAACTGATGATGCTGCTTACGATTTAATTGCAGCAGAATCAGAGTTGTCAGCTTACTAGAGAAACTTAGGGGATCATAGATTTCTGGTAGAATCGACAAGCATTTGCATGGTTTAAAAACAAACCATTGGG